GTCAGAAAGATGCAGAAAGGTTTAAAATGAAAGGATGAGCAAAGATTTGCCAATCAAACACAAATGAAAGGAATGGAAGTGGCAACACTAATGGAAGAAATATGTCGAAATTTGATTTGTCAGTTTTTGTTTTTTGTTTTTTTTTAACTTAACAGCCAATTAATGATACAATTAAAATGAAGAATTTATACCGTTGGACATGCCAAATAGCACAGCATATAGCATAGCATAGCAAGTAGTAAAGCTAAAACAAAGTAGAGATTTACAGACATTTGTTGGTAGTAGTAGATTTTAAAGGCACAATGGTGGTATAGTGGTTAAGTGCTTAGCTGCTAACCAAAAGGTCGGCATTTCCAGCCCACCAGCTGCTCTGTAAGAGAAAGATATGGCAGTCTGCTTCTGTAAAGATTTCAGCCTTGGAAACCCTATGAGGCAGTTCTTCTCTGTCCTATACAGTTGCTATGAGTTGGAATCGACTTGACAGCAATAGGTTTAGTTTTTTAGTATATTTTGACATACAGCCATCACACTATGATAATTCAAATGCGTAAAATATGAATAAGGACATAAAACAACATAATTAACAGTGTAGAATAATTAGCTATACTTAGAAGTTCATGGGCTATATAAAAATACATCTTATTTTAAATATTCACATGGAAAATTGAATCGTACGGCAGGCCACAAAAGAAAAACCATTTTTAAAATGCAGACATTTTCTTAAAAGCTAGTGAGCAGCCATCTAAGATACATCAATTGGTCCCAACCCAACTGGAGCAAAGGAGAATGAAGAACACCAAAGACACAAGGAAAATATTAGCCCAAGAGACAGACAGAGCCACATAAACCAGAGACTCCATCAGCCTGAGATCAGAAGAACTAGATGGTGCCCGGCTACCACCAATGACCGCCCTGACAGGGAACACAACAAAGAGTACCTGACAGAGCAAGAGAAAAGTAGGGGTGCAGAACTCAAATTCTAGTAAAAAGACCAGACTTAATGGTCTGACTGAGACTGGAGGGACCGCGGAAGACATGCCCCCAGACTCACCGTTAGCCCAGAACTGAAAGCATTCCTGAAGCCAACTCTTCAGACAAAGATTAGACTGGACTATGGGACATAGAATGATACTTGTGAAGCAAGTGCTTCTTAGCTCAAGAGACTAAATGGGCAGCTCCTGTCTAGAGGTGAGATGAGAAGGCAAAAAGGGACAGGAGCTGGTTGAATGGACACGGGAAATCTGGGGTGGAAAGGAGGAGCGTGCTATCACATTATAGGGAGGGCAGCTAGGGTCACATAGCAATGTGTGTATAAATTTTTGTATGAGAAACTGACTTGAACTGTAAACTTAAAGCACAATAAAAAATAAATAAAATGCAGACATTTTGCAGTCTACCCTCTCTCATCACAAAACAATAAAATACAATATAAATATAAACAAAACCAACAACCCAGCCACTTGGTAGTGTCTATATTTGGGGGCTATAGGAATTTGGAATTAAAGGGAATAAGGTTGTCTTTTCAAGGCTAAACTTTCATAAAACACAATAAGTTAAGGTCGAATGATGTAAAGTCACCTCAAAGAGATTCCCAGAATACTAAGATCTAGCCATGATCCTATTGAGTGTATTAACATTGCCTAAGGTTAAAAATAAAAAAAGGTTGATCCGAAGGGAGGCCGGTTTAACAAACAAAGAAAAAAGCAAGTCTCAGAGGCACACATTGGCAGTGCCCATCCAAGCAAGACAGAAGCCTCATCCAGCTGGACTTAGTATAGTCCTATGGGCAAGACCAAGGAGCCTTGGTGGTGCAACAGTTAAGTGCTTGGCTGTTAACCGAAATCTTGGTGGTTTGACCCACCCAGCAGTTCTGCATAAAGATTCCAAAACCAGCAACCCATTACCGTCGAGTCAATTCCAACTCATAGCAACCCTACAGGACAGAGTTGAGCTGCCCCATAGGGCTTCCAAGGCTGTAAATCTTTACAGAAGCAGACTGCCACATCTTTCTCCCGTGGAGCTGGCTGGTGGGTTCGAACCACCGACCTTTAGGTTTGTAGCCAAGTGCTTCAACCACTGTGCCACCAGGGCTCCTCTGTGTAAAGATTACAGCCTAGAAAACCCTGTGGGGGCAGTTCTACTCTGTCACATGGGGTTGCTGTGAGTCAGACATCGACTCAATGGCCCACAACAATAACAATGGCAAGACTATCCCTCTCGTGGAGGTGGAAGCACCGAGTCATTTTAGCCTGATAAGGTTCAATTTCTTGTGCACCAAGGCATGTTTTGATTCTGATTTGGCCTCCGTGTAGAGGTCCACATACAGGGTGGCTGTGCATTAAGGGAGGTGTGAGAGTGAGACTTGTGGATCTCAATAAAAACAAACAAAATCTGTTGCCATCAAGTCGATTCCAACTGTTGATAAATATGAATCTGTTCTGGGAAATATTTCACTCTTGTGTTGGAAAAGTAAGTTTCCTAAACTTTACAGATTGGTATGGCTGCAAGAGAAAGGGTCCAGAAACTGGCGTGCATTTGTATATACAAGTAAAGGAAGTTACTCACTGTAAATTGTTCTTATTCACAGCTTCGTCTTGCTGCTCAGAGAGGTTTTTGGTATGCATGAGTGATTTAAATATTTGTTGAAGGAACGAAATAATTGGGGAAGGACAGGCTTAGTCAACAAATGCCGGTGAGATAATAGGTTAACTATTTTACATACACTAAAATAGCCCTCACCCGTCTGTCAGTTTGTCGTCCTCTGGTGGCCGGGGTATTGCTGTGAAGTTGGAAGCTATGCCATTAGTATTTCAAGTACCAGTGGAGTCACCCATGGTGGACAGGTTTCAGCAGGGCTTCCAGACTAAGACAGACTAAGACTGAAGATCTACTTCCGAAAATTAGCCAATGAAAGCCTTACGGATCACAACAAAACATTGCCCACCTTGGATCAGGAGGGATCATTTGCTGGAGGAGGACATCGTGTTGGTGTAGTAGAGGACCACCGAGGGGAAGGAGACCCTCAGTGAGGTGGAATACCACAGGAGCTGCAATGATCGACTCGAACATGACAGATGGCGAGGATGACGCAGGACCGGCAACGTTTCGTTCTGTTGTCCGTAAGGTCGCCGTGAGTCGAAGTCCACTTGACGGCAGTTGACAACAGCAACGAAACAAGGAGCACAGGGTTTAAAGAGTTAACTCTCAAAAAGAAAAACTGACAGAAATATGCAAATGTTGATTGTACTTTTGGAGGGACAGCAACCTTGTAAGCTAAGAAGGACGAGAATAAATCACAAAGGCAAATAACAACAAATTTGACTACATAAATATTAAAAACTTATGTTAGCAAAATATAATTACAACCAGAATTCAAAGTCAGACAACCCAGGAAAATGCTTGCAGAAAATGTGACAGGCAAAGGAGGCCTGATATCTTTATTATGTAAAACATTCCTACGAATCGATAAGAGAAACACTGAAATTCCAAAAGCGTAAAGACAACTCACAAAAAAAAAGGAATTAAAACTAGCAAAGAAACACATGGAAAAATATTTGACCAAGCTAGTAATCAAAGACATTCAAAATAAAACTAATTTTTAAAGACTTTTAAATTAGCAAAGAAAATATTTTTAAAAAATGTTTTTAAACAAAACCCAATGCTGGTGAAGATGTAAAAGTGGGGTTCTCATATTTTGTTGTTGAATTTTTATAAATTGGTACAACCTTTTTGGAAAGCAGTTTGGCAGTATAATATCAAGAGCCATAAAAATGTTTATAGCCTTTGACCTGGTAATTTGACTTCTGGGAATCTATCCTGAGGAAAATTAATCCAAAATATGGAAAAAATTAAATGCCTTAAACTGGGAAGCACAAAATGTCCCACAATAGGGGAATGGTTAATATGTCATGAGAAAAAAAAAAAAAAGGATAGAAAAACCACTGGATAAAAAACGACATAAACCCAATGCCGCTGAATTGATTCTGACTCATAGCGACCCTATAGGACAGAGTAGAACTGCCGCATAGGGTTTCCAAGGAGCAGCTGGTGGATTCGAACTGCCAACCTTTTGGTTAGCAGCCTGAGCTCTTAACCACTGCACCACCACGGCATAGCCATTTATAATTATGGGACTAAAGAACATGCAGCCACATGGAAGAATCTAATGCTTTAGTGTTAAGTGAAAAAAGAATGAAAATGTGTATATGAAAAGACACGCCAAGAAGAAAAGACTGAAGGAACTACACCAAATTTTAAGTGGTTGAGCTAGAATGGCAAGATGACAGGTGTATTATTTTCTTTACCTACTTCTTTAGTTAAGGTTTGTCTCAGCCTGTTCTTGTCTGGATGGCAGTTGTCGCCACCCCTTACTCCATGTCCAGCTTCCACAGCCTACCCATCTGTGATGGTGCACTTCAAGTTCCAGCTCATCCAAGAAGCCTTCCCCATCCCATTAGCCAACTGAAACTCCCATTCCTATGCTCCCATAATACAGTGTTGTTGTTGTTGTTGTCAGGTGCCATCAAGTCAGTACCGACTCATAGCAACTCTATGTACAACAGAATGAAACACTGCCTGGCCCTGTGCCATGTTCACAATCGTTGTTATGCTTGAGCCCATTGTTGCAACCACTGTGTCAATCCATCTCCGTGAGGTTCTTGCTCCTTTTCACTGACCCTGTACTTTACCAAGCATGATGTCCTTCTTCAGGGACTGATCCCTCTTGACAACATGTCCAAAGTGTGTAAGACGTAGTCTCGCCATCCTTGCTTCTAAGGAGCATTCTGGTTGTACTTCTTCCAAGACAATGCAGTGTTAGCATGTCTGTTATAGCATGTATACAATTTGCGTTGTGTGGAAATATATGTACAGTATGTATCTGTTTCCACAACTGAATTTTCTCTCTCCATAGCGGGGGTGCTTTGCCTGTATGATATGTCTGAATAAATATTAGTTGAAGTGAATTGAACTGAGATGAATGACTTCTGATTTCCTGGCAGGTGGCGCTCACGAAGGTCTGCAACACTTGGGCCCTTTCGGCAACATTCCCAACATCGTGGCAGAGTTGACTGGTGACAACATTCCTAAGGACTTCAGTGAGGATCAGGGCTACCCAGACCCTCCAAACCCTTGTCCCATTGGAAAAACAGGTAATGGACAAGCCCTTGGGTTCCCATGGAAGATAGAGGCTTTGGGAGGAAATTAGAAATTCCAGCATCAGCTACTAATAATCCAAAAAGTATTATTTCTGTTCTGATGAGCTCCTATGTATTTACAAGTGGATAAGAAAGGGCAGTTTATTCCAGAACACTTGTGTGAGTTCTGGTGTTCAGATAAACCCATGTAGGACTTACTTGCCAAGGCTTCACCTTCTGTCTCTCTCCCTCCTTTGTAATTGATGCTCTTGTTTTGCACTTGCTACTTTTTTAATGAAAAGGGAGAAAGCACTGTTTTCAATCTCCTACGATACAACTGCTGCCAATCTTTAGTGTCTTTGGAACTAGTTATTTGTTCTGTGCATTATCCATGCCCTTTCATTTTCCTTACTTCTGTTAACAGTCAACATTTCAGCTCTGTCACACCAAGTTACTGTCTTCAAATGTTTATTTGGAGAGGAGTGGCATGGGAGAGAGGGGGTACAGAGAGGTAAGAGGTTGGTTAAGGAAGAAGGTCGAAACTTTCCATACTATAGGCAGTCCTGGGGTTACTAATGTCCGACTTAATGGACAACTCGTACTCACCCTTTAATGTTATGTAACTTGGCCCTCACTCTGATAACAACTGAACCAACCTCTACTCACAACAAATCCTTAATCACAGTTACCTGCTCTGGCTACACATGCTTTTAAATCACTGAAAGGCTTCAAGCCTTTTCTTGCAGTAAAGTAAGGCTAAATAAGAAGTCAGATGCACCTGTTCTGACTCACCTACGTATTCAACTTAAAGACTTAAAAACACAGTTAGGAATGGATCTCATTGGTTACCTGGGGACTGCCTGTACTCATGTGTCCCTCTCATTTTCTCCCCTTCTTACCCCTAATACCAAAGCAAGTGGTGGGTGGGCTGCACTTATGTTGGTCTTTCAGCAGCGTACCTAGACGGTTAGGAGTAGTGTCTCTAGACTCAGACTAAAAACCAGAAAACCAAACCCATTGCCGTTGAGTCAGTTCTGACTCATAGTCATCCTGTAGGACAGGGTAGAACTGCCCCATAGTTTCCAAGGAGCGGCTGGTGGATTCGAACTGCCAACCTTTGGGTTAGCAGCTGAGCTCTTAACCACTGAGCCACTAGAGGTCCGGGCTCAAGCTACCTGGGTTCAAACCCAACATCAAGTTATGTGACCTTGAACAAGTTAATTAACCATTGTACTTAGGGTTTCTCATTTGCAAAATGGGGGTTGTTGTGGGAATTAAATGAAACTATTCATTTAAAGCACTTAGCACAGTACCTATCACACTCAATAAATTTCATCCTGATCATAATTAGCTAACACTCCTTTGCAACTAGTTAGTAATGGTGCAGTGGTTAAGAGTTACAGCTGCTAACCAAAAGGTCGATGGTTCGAATCCACCAACTGCTCCTTGGAAACCCTATGGAGCAGTTCTAATCTGTCTTATAGGGTTGCTATGAGTCGAAATCGACTCAATGGCAATGGGGTTTTTGGTTTTTTTTTTTCTGTTGGGCTAAAGAGCCCCAGTGGTGCAGTGGTTAAGTGCTCTGCTGCTAACCAGAAGGTCAGCAGTTCAAACCCACCAGTGGCTCTGCGGGAAAAAGCTGTGGTAGTCTGCTTCCGTAAAGATTACAACCTTGGAAACCCTGTGGAGCAGTTCTATTCTGTCCTATAGGGTTGCTGTGAGTTGGAATTGACTCAATAGCAATGAGTTTGGGGTTTTTTTGTTTTGTTTTGTTTTCTTGGGCTTGTGTTAACTTCTAGCACGAGAGTAATCTTTTCCCCTAAACCCAATAATAATAAAAGTAGTTACTTATTATCCCCATTTTACATATAAGGAAACTGAAGCTTAGAGAGTAACTTGCCCATGGCTATCCATTTATCAGTGAGCTGGGCCAAGACTCAAACCCAGGTCTATGTGATTCAGGACCGTGCATTCAGCCATCACCACATACTGCCTCACTCTGACATTCATGACAGTACTGGCCCCTCAGTTTCCCTTAAACACAGTGTAGGCTGTCTCTGACAGAGAATGCTCCTCCTTTGGTCTAAGGTGAGGCCTCTGTTTTCCATGGAGCCTAGAGCCTCCATCTTGAGACAGAACAACCAAAGTGGTTGGATGTGGCCAAGCCAGGTGAGACTGCTGGCCCAGGGCTGTGGGAAAACGTGAATCCGCAGCTCCATCATCTCAGCCACATCTTACGTACTTGTTTGTAGGCTTTTGGAGAGGTAGGAGGAAAGACCTGCTCGGTCTCAAGAGCAACAGTCTCCTTGGGGATCTGGATAAGTTGATCAGGCAGTGTGCTGTAGTGGTTCTGAGAGGGCGGTCCCAGGACCAGCGACATCGGCCCCACCTGGGAACTTGTTAGAAATGCAGATTCTCAGGCCTTACCCCACACCTGTCCCTGGGGGGTGCAAATAGATACTCAACTGCTAACCAAAAGGCTGAAAGTTCAAGTCCACCCAGGGGCACCTTGGAAGACAAGCTTAGCCATTTACTTTAGAAAAATTAGCCATTGAAAACCCTATGGAGCAGAGTTCTACTCTGACACACAGGGGCAGATTACCCAATAGGCAAGGTAAGCACAGTGCTTACCTTGTTTTCCAGATCATCTGTAGTAACAATTTCACACGGATGTGGTGAAACCCTTGTGAAATTTCACGAAGATGTGGTGAAACCCGTGTGAAATTGTTACTACAGATTAGAAAGTAAGGGATTGTAAATTTGAAAAAAGGCTTTGATTCTGTAGGAAGGTGCTAGGGGTTGGGAGAGAGACAGATGCCAGCCAGACCTGGAAGCAGAATCTTTGACTTGGTGAAAAACTGTGAAATTGTTCACTACAGACGATCTGGTAAGCAGGGTAAGCACCTTGCTTACCTTTCCTGTTGGATAGTCCGCCCCTGCTGACAAAGATTGAGTTGCCAGGAGTCAGAGTCGATTTGAGGTCAACTGGTACTGGTACCCGCGACCTACTGAATCACAAACTCTGGAGGTGGGTCCAGCGATTTGTTTTAACGAGCTCTCCACATGATTCGGATGCACGCTAAAGTTTGAGAACCACTGGTATAGCAGAATGGAAAGAGAACCAGAGTTTGAGCCAAGAGATCTGACTTCTGGTCATAACTACAAGTATCAGTTTATGTCCCTGAACCAAAACCAAACCAAACCCGTTGCCATCGAGTCGATTCCGACTCTTAGCGACCCTATAGGACGGAGTAGAACTGCCCCATAGAGTTTCCAAGGAGCACCTGGTGGATTCAAACTGCCAACCTTTTGGTTAGCAGCCGCAGCCCTTAACCACTACACTACCAGGGTTTCCTTTACGCCCCTAGGCCTCCCTTTATCTGTAAAATGAAGACATAGTCAATGCCTTAAAGAAACATAGAATGTTTAAAAAAAAAATTCAAACGGATTACTGGGTGATCATGCACGACATACTGTGGACTTAGGGGATGCTGGGAGAACCATCAAGGTGGGCTGATATAGTTGGATAAAATCCCAACCCTCGGCTCCTGTCTTCTCACATGTTGTCTGCCGTTTCTTTTGGTATTCTTCCATTAAGCTAACATATTTCTCAGTCTTTGTTCTACCACAGTTCACATTCTAAAAAGGAAATTGCTTGCTAAATTTAGTAAATTTGTAAGAAATTCCTTGAGCAGGGCTGTATCTCCACATCTCAGTCTGGGCCCACTCAAAAGCACTTGAGAAGCAATTAGGCAACTATTGTGAAGCTGCCTTGTGCAGGCTGTCCCTGAGCGCTCCGTTTGGTTTTCCTTTCCTACATGCTAATTGCTATAGATGAAGAACTTAGATAAATAGGTCAATGAAAGTGGAGAGACGCTTTAAAGCCACGTTAGGGATTTGTTCAAAATGCTAATGACTTCTACACTAGCTTCGTACTGCTAAGAGCTGAGAGACGGTGGATGTTTTAAGCTGCTGCTGGAACTTTGAACTGTCTCAAGAGACTAGACTACCTGGTCAATTGTAAATAGACCCTTTTCAGTATTTACTTGGATGCCTTGTTACCTTTTTGAAAAGAGATCCTATTTCCTCCCCCTATCCCTGCATGAAATTCACACCCCCCCCCCGCTTTTTTTTTTTTTTTTAACTGTTGTCTAATTATTTCATTTTACTAACAGGAGACTAAGACCAGGCATGTTATTAGAAAAACAAGGTCCCTGATATACAAGTAAAACTACTAGCAAATAAAAGATAAACAGAGACCACTGAAAATGAGGCTATGGAATTTTTTTTTTTTTTAATTAACCAGCTGAGCTCTCAATCTGGGGTCTTTACTGATCTTTTGAGGTTACCTTTTTCCAACTAAACTGTAGTAATCTTAACCTAAGGAGCCCCGCTGGTGCACTGGTTAAAGGTGCTCGGCTGCTAACCAGAAGGTCGCCAGCTCGCACGCATGGGAGAAAGATGTGGCAGTCTGCTTCCGAAAAGATCACAGCCTAGGGAACCCTATGGGGCAGTTCTGCTCTGTCCTACAGAGTCGCTGTGAGTCGGAATAGACTTGACAGCACACGACAACGTGACGACAACAACAAGGCACGTTGGAGATGGAGAAAATGACTCATCTTTAAAGCGTTGCGCCTAGTAAGGATTGTTCTAGAAATGATAGCGCTCAGGAAAAAGCAGCGGCTAAGAGGGATAAATTCTTTCTTGGATTTCAGTGGAGGACATGTTTTATTTCCAAGAGCAGCCCTAGTATACATTGACATTTAAAGGGAGACGGTGGGAAATAAACGACATGTTGAGACCCCACTATGTGGCAGGTGCTCTATGTATGATCACCTCTAATCCTCACAGCAACCCTGTATGGTAAGTATTTTATTATTCCCATTTCACAGGTGAATAAATGGAACTGGAGAAGCTAAGTTAACTTTCCCAAGGAACGAAGCCTATCTATCATTCATGAGCAGGAATTTGAGCCTTGAGCCTTGGTCTGTCTGACCCCCAAGTTTACCCCATTACCACTAGAACACAGAACGTCCAGTACAGCCTAGTGGTTGTTATTGTATTGGTTGTCCAATGTACTTTCTCTGCTAAGCTAAAGTTGTTTCTAAAGAGCTCCCAACATCGAAGAGAAAACAGTGAGATGTGGGACAGAGGTATATTAGTGAGTGAAATATTTGATGTTAAAACAAACAAAAAAATTTAGTGGCTTCACACAGGAGAAGTTGATGTCTCACTTGTATGAAGTCCTGCTGGAGGTGGGTGAGGTGTGGTGGAAGGCTCAGGTCATTCAGGATCCCGGACTGCCATGTGCACACTTGGCTTCCACAGTTGCCCTGGTCAGCACCATCAAGCAAGCAGACCAGCAGATGGGGCTGGAGGGTGAGCAGGAGAGGATCACGTGGGAAGTTTTTATGGACATCACTTCTGACCACATTCTGCTGGCCCAAACTCAGACGTATGACGCCACCTCATTGCAAAGCAAGGCTGGGAAGTTAGTCTAGCTGTGTGTTGAGGAGGAAAGGGAAATGGGTTTGGTAAACAGCCAACCAGCATCTGCCGCAGGTAGGCGGAGGAGTGGGAGTCTGGGATGAGCAGTCCCATCCAACCAGGAGATGAGATCCAGAGAGAAAGTGAGTGAGAGAGGCCGATGTACATAGAGTCTGACCTTTGGGTGTCTAGTTGTTTTAAATAAATTAACTCTTATAATAAAGATAAATGCCCTGGCCATTCCTCAAAAACCTTTGGCTGTTTGCAGTAGATGAGGATGGATGTCTGGAAAACACCCCTGACACAGCCGAGTTCAGTCGACAGTTCCAGCTGCAGCAGCACCTCTTTGACCCGGAGCATGACTATCCAGGCCTGGGCAAGTGGGTGAGTCCAATCTTAATTCCTAGGAGAGATGTTACACTCTGGCATGCTGAAGGGACTGATGGCAGAGATGAGCGGTCTGGGTGCGGGCAGAGAAGAAAAATTACTTAGAAGCTGATTTTTCAGAAATCTCTGGCCGAGAGGGACTTGGCGTCATTGCCGTTCCAAACAACTCTCGTGTGTCTAGACAGCAACCTGCATCAACCTCATTAGCTACGGTCTCCAGAGGCTTCTGCTCTAGTCTATTCCACAGCCCGCATGATCACATAGTCTATATCTCACCAGTGTCTCATGCAACTCTTATAGAATTGTATCCAGAAGTACCATTTTTTAAAAAAAAGGTTACTGAGAAACTTTGCAGATTTGATCTCTAGACCAAGGAAGGCGATCACTGCCAAATCAAGGAAAGAAATACCAGACATTTAGAAACAGACATAGTTCTACTTTACAGAAAGAGAAGAAAACTTCCACAATGTGTAGCAGTGAACTTGCTCTGTGTCGCGGGGAAGAATCTATAGCTGTCATTTCAGGGAGTTGCTTATCGGCACTTGGAAAGAGAAATCATGACCATTTGGCGCAGGTTTGCTAAAAACAAGTCTTGTCAATCTAACTGCTCTTTTCGTTGCCCAAGTTATTCATTTACTTGCCAGCTTGATGAGGGAAATGTGAGCACAGTGCTCTTATACTTCAGCAAAGTATTTGACAAGATCTCTCATGATCTCCTTTTGGGAGAGGTGAAGAGATACAGCCCAGGTGTTAGAACATCACTGAAAGGGAGCTTGTCAACAGAGTCTGTATCCACAAGGAGGGAGGTTTCGCATCCTATCCTGCATGTCTTAGCACTACCCAACTCCACAGTTTTACCCATGTTTATAATAAAAACATAGCGCGTGTACTTAGTAGATTCCCGGAGGATGACATGAAGTTGGAAGGGATGGCACTGGATGACAGAGTTGGGATTCAGTAAGATTCCAACATGCTGGAACAGTGAGCCAAAGAAGATCACAGTTGCATGGGGCTATGTCTCTGTTCCTGTGGTTGGGCCTATGCAATGAAATGGTGAAGCCATGTGAGCAAAGTGGGGAAATACTTAGGAGTGTTAATTCGCAGATAATAGTAGGTGGTCAATACAGCTCTGGAATGAGTGGATGAATGAGTACATGAGCAGATATCCCAAACTACAGAAGCCCTGCCAAAGCTCTCTATCCCTTTTCAGCTCATGATGGCAGATGACCTTGCTTCCCATTTACTGAGAATATTGAAGTCTCAAGCCTAAACTACCTCTCTTCCTTTTATGACGTTTTAGAGCAAGATGTCCCTCCTCATTGATGACCACTTTCATTTTCTCAGCATCTGGCATCAACATTGCACTGAGTCAGTTCCCTCTGCCTTCAGCATGCACAAGTTTCCCATCTTAAAACAACAAAGCAACACCGCCGCCTGAGTTAATTTTACTTTCTCTAATACACATTGGAGTCCCTGGGTGGTGCAAATGGTTAATGTGCTTGGCTGACAACCAAAAGGTTGGAAATTCAAGTTCACCCAAAGGCACCTCAGAAATCTACACCCAAAGGCCTGGTGATTTAATTCAGAAAAATCAGCCATTGAAAACCCTGTGGAGCAGAGTTCTACTGTGACACACGTGGGGTTGCTATGAGTCGCAATCGACTTGACAGCAACTGATTTTTGATACGCATTCTTCTATTTCCCTTCTTTTCGTAAGCAGGTCTGTTAGGGAAGAGTGGTTTGTGGAGTCATTTTCAAGGCTACCAGTAGAGTTGAAACATGTTGGAAATGAGCAAAATGAAGCAAGAGGGTTGCCTAAAAAAAAGTCAGAGTGAGGGCAGAGTGCCCGTTTGGTGATGTGAAGAGTGGGAGAGATATGGGACCTTGTCTCTTTTCAGTCTTCCCCACCTCTTTTTGAAAGCCTTTACAGATTGCTTTCACAAAGTTCCACACACTTCTAGACCTTCAATAAGAGCCCAACTTCATCCTTTATTCTTACCTTCTCTAAATATTGATTTTTCTCTCAGTCATTCCCATTCATTATCTACATCAGAGCTGAAGACTAGAATTTAGAACTCTATGCAAAAGCAAATACTATTACAGATCAATGGTCAGAAACCATGTTTACGTAGCCTTTATTATCTGTAATCATGTGTTTGTTTACACTTCAGTTTCCTTAGTTTATTTTCTCATTACCGCCGAGCCGTAAAGCATGATTTGTTTGATCTTCACATGGAAGTGTGAATTGAGTGTGTTTTGCTTTTCTAAGCTGGCGCTCACAAGCCTTCCGCAGTGTTTAGATAGCTGATAGCATCAAGCTTGTCCACAACATCCTTTAAGTTAACAAAATAATTATCTTTTACAATCGAACTGCACACCAAGTCTTGATTCCTTATTTGCCAATATGTAATGCTCCCTTGTTTTTGACATTCGCCAGCGCTGAGTCGTCAGTAGTGATGCAAAGATTATAAATATCAGCGTTGGTCTTGTTTCCTGTTTCTCTTTTTGTGTTAATACATCGAGACACATTTAATAAATGCACATCGTATGCCTACCAGAGCCTGTGCTAGATGGTGGGGGTACAAAGATGAATAATAATAAAAATCAAACCCATTTCTGTCAAGTCGATTCTGACCCATAGGCACCCTATATACAGAGTAGGACTGCCCCATAGGGTTTCGAAGGCTGTACATCTTTACAGAAGCAGACGGCCACACCTTCCTCCCCCAGAGCAGCTGGTGGGTTGGAAATGCCAACCTTCCAGTTAGCAGCTGAGCGCTTTGCCAGTGCACCACCGGGGCTCCTGTGAATAATAATCATCACAATATTTATTGAGCACGTACTATATGCCAGGCACTGTGCTTAATACTTTACATGAATTATCACCTGTCGGCTGCCCATTCCTATCCTTCACATTTTACAGATGAGAAAAGGCAGGCTTCAGGAGGCTCAGACCTGGTGACTGGCAGAGCTGGGATTTGAACCAGCCCATCCAACACCAGTGCTCTTTAAAGGCTGGATAAATCCCTTGTCTTTGTATGGCTCGTCCCTTGTAATGGGGTCCTGAGCTTCTCCTTATCTAGCCCTCTCTAGGAATGATTGCCTTTTGGACAACCTGCACACCCACAGCATTGAGTGGCTAGAACAAAAGGCTGGCTGGGCCTTTCACCCTCTGTCTTTGCACATCAGCTGCCAAGTGTTAGGCTCCAGGGAAAAAGATGTCTCGTAAGGCAAATATTTTTCCTTTCCAAAAGCTGTTCACATCTTTGCATCAGGGGCTCTTACTTAAACCAAAGCAGTTGATCTTGGCCAGAACCTGAGCCATGGGTGAAAACGAGGGGCCAGGACCCTCTCTCACTGGTGCAAAAGTGTATTCGGAAACAGGATGTGCAGTTGTTGCTGTTACAAACAGGGAAGCCTGTGCCCAGACATCCCAGCCTGTGGCAGGGTAATGCCCTGAGTATCCCAGGCCCTGACCCCCCACCATGATACCAGTCTAAACCCCTGCAGTCATACCTACATTGCAATCCCAGCCAGAGCCGGCTTCCTCTATCTAGTGTTTAAGATGATCTGTTACACAGATGACAGAATGGCAGTGATGGAGCTCTGCCAACCCCAGGCTGTCACTTATTTGTCCATCTTAGGCAGCTGAACAAGGAGCCCCGGTGGTGCAGTGGTTAAGTGCTCGGCTGCCAACTGAAAGGTTTGGTTCTAACCCACCAGCCACACCGCAGGAGAAAGATGTGGCCGTCTGCTTCTGTAAAGATTACAGCCTTGGAAATCCCGTGGGGCGGTTTACTGTGTCCTGTAGGGTCGTTATGAGTCGGAATCGACTCGACAGCAATGGGTAACAGGTAGGCAGCTGATCATGATGGTGCTCAGAAGGTCTCCTCTGTAGTCAACAACCCCCCACCCCGCCCCGCAGCTTTGATGCTAACTCCCAGGACCCTCTCTGTGCATCTACAGAAAGGCCACTACAGACTGAAGGAAACGAAGCTCACAGCCATCCCCTCGTTTCTCGAGGGAGTGAGCTGCACGTCTGCCTTTTCTCCCCTCTGATATTCCCCAAGCGGGCAGGAGGGAGGGCTGTGGCCAGCTCCGGCAGCCTCTTTGGTGGTGGAGGCTTCTTTGCTCCCTGGCGCAGACTCCCTGCATAGTTGAGGCTGGGCATGAGATACGCATTGTAAATTGTGGGTGGGGGAGATTTTAATGAACATGAAAATTATGACGCCCGTTCTTGGCATTTGCCATTTCCATCTCCAAATCCACCATTTAAAAAAAAACTTTATAACCAGATACTCAGAGGACACAAGTGTTGTATGAACTGGTTCCTTACTGAAACGTACCAAAATGTTGCCTCTCTCTTTTTTTTAAAATCAATATCAGGGTATTTTATTTAGAGTAAGATGAATCATCTCTTTTATACATTATTTCCCTTTTGATTAAAAACCCCAATAAATAAAACAGCACAAATAAAGCCCCCAGCTCTCCCATTCCGGCTTCAGGTTAACCATTCTGTCTTTGACAATCTCAGTTGAAGGGAAAATCTGTCGAGCATGTGTCTGATACTCCAGAGCTCATTTAAGTCCACTGTGTGTTGGAAATACAGCAATATGTGGAAATACTTATACAAACTGTGGTAACAGAGCCCCTTTTTCCCCCCACCAACATAACTTCCCTTTCTGCCAAGAAGTTTTTTGGCAGTTTTTTTAAAAGGTTCACTCTATTAAAAATGTTATAGACCAAATGGTTTTCTGATTGTCTTGACTGGGGGACGCTGACTGCAGCCACGGAAGGAAGGGTTTCAGAAGTCAGAATGTCTCGTTATTTACATAGAGGATTGAGGTTCAGTCTGACGCTCCTCCAGAAGACAGTGTGTGCAGTTTGTAAAAATGGAGTGAGATGCAAAAGTAAAACGAGATAAAATTGTTTGCTCTAGACAAAAGCTGTTCACAGTGAGGAGGTGAGCTTCCAGCGCCCTGTGTTTTAGCCCGTTGAGTTTCCCTGTGTATGTGATTGTCGATGGCACGGGTGTGCCCCAGGGCATTGGGGCGGGTTTTTATTAAAAGCTGTACAACCACCAGCTTTTCTCCTGTGTCCTGTCTTTCTGACACGACATTCTTCTCGTCTAGTTTTGTTCCCAGAATATGTGTATGCAAATATCCAGGGGACACACCAAGTATTGCTTTTATAATAGGCATTCACTGAATCTGATCCGTACTTCTACGTTTGTGTTTTCTCTCCTTTCACATCTAGAACAAGAAACTCCTTTATGAGAAGATGAAAGGAGGACAGAGACGAAGGCGAAGGGTAACGGCCGGCCGGGTGGTTGTGGGGATCCCCGGAGCTTCCTGAGGGGCACAGTTGATAAGCTGAACCCCCAGCTGCTGGAAATTAAGGGAATCCTTTTAGATGCAGCCCTGAGAAGGCAGAAAGGTGGTTCTGTGTAACAGGGGCGACGCCCAGCAAGTCCACCCTTGGTTTCTGCCATGGTCCTCCCAAGCTTTAGCACATGACTTGTGGTGGAGCCC